TTTCACTTAGCCATTTTCGCGATCTTCCAAATGGGCTTTTTCACCATCTCTACATAGGCTTTTCTTCTCAAAATTCAAGCCCATTCATCAAGCCCAAGTCCATCACGTTTTTGATAAGTTTTTGAGTCAAAAGTTACAATTCCAAAGTCCTTTGCATGCTTTTCTTTTAATGAGTCAAACAATTTAATGCTTTTGTTATTTCCTAGGAAGGTTGCATGTAACCTTCCTTAGGACTATATATATGTGCTCTCCCCCTTCATAATAAGATCATCCAAGTTTTTAGAATCAAAGAAATCTCTTCTCTTACTTGTGATCAAACCGCCGAAAACTTAAACACTTTTCGGTAATTCTCTCTTCGAGAGAATCCTCNTTCTTCTTGGTGCGTAATATCAAAGTTGATCGAGCCCCTACCCTTCACCGAGTTCCTCGTTACTCGTGTGATTGTATTCACGTCCATCTCTATCTCTTTCCCTTAACCATCTCCGCGAACACCCTACCGTAAAACCTACCGTTCACGAGTTAGCTCCGATCAAAGTCTCGATCCGCGATTGGGATCGTATCAATTACCTAGAAACACCTAGTAAATAAGTAAAATTTTATAAAAATGTTAGTAAATATTTTAAGATTATTTTTGTATAATATGAAAACATGTAAAAGTTGAGGGGTCAAATTGTGAATAAAAAAGTTCAATCCAAAAATGAGTATTGTGAATAGTGTTCGGTGTTCCTTCAATTTTAGGGAATAATATTGTTAATTTTCCCTCAAATTTTGATGTTTTTCCTCATTTTGAAGGTTGGAGATGGTCTTAGGCAACACATGGTCTCTTGCATTAAAGATGATCATTTGCTTTCTTGGATTTAAAGTTTAATAGGATCTATACTACCCTTCTTTACGTCTTTTGGTTCAGTTTCTCCACTAGTTTCTTTTGCTTTACCTAATGTTGAATCTAGAGAAGAAGAATCTCATCAACATGTTTATGTATTCTGTCTTTATTTATCTGTGTACAGCTGCTTCAAAATCTTAAGGAGGATGGATTTGAGTTATTCTGTAAATCTAAAGGAGCTTCCTGATCTCAACTGCTACCAATCTCCAAAATTTAGATCTCACTATTTGCTCCTTGTTAAAAAGTTTTCCACAATCACTAAAGTTGTCAAGCTAAGTGGAATTGATATAGAAGAAGTTCCTTCATCTATCAGGTTGTGCTCTAGTCTTGAAGTATTACATATGAAAACCTCAAGGAATCCCCACATGCTTTTGACAGCATCACAGAGCTGCACTTGACTAATACGGAATTACAAGAGATTGGTCCATGGGTCAAGGGATGCTCTTGTCTGGTGCAGCTTGTGCTCAGCAGATGCGGAAAGCTAGTAACACTCCCACAGCTTCCAGATTCCATATCAGAGATAAATGCAGAAATTTTTGTCTTCCTTGAGAGACTAGATTGCTCCTTTTGCAATCCGTATATTCGTCTCAACTTCGTTAACTGCTTAAAATTAAATCAAGAAGCAAGAGATCTCATCATGCAGACATCAAACTCGTAACTTTTCGGTTTTACCTGGTGGAGAAGTGCCTTAATGACTATGTTTACTCTGTTTTGTTTGTTGTTGCGTCTTTTTCTTCTTCTTTTCATCAGAGTCTTGTAACAAGAGAGAGATACTAACCTTGGAAGATAAAACATTGCGGGAGCTTCAGATATGTCGATGAAGATGAGACATCGAGGTATGAGACAAACATTGAAACCAAATTCGACAGAGAAGCATCCAGAGAGTAACAATGCATGGAAGAAGAAGAGCTGGAAAATCCGCAGGAGCTTGGTCGTGAAGATGATGATTCAGTGACAACTTACTTCCTTTTTTATTCTGTCTCATATTGAGTTTATGTTCTAATACATTTTGCTTCTACATTCTCCAATTTTTCTTTATTCAAGTATCTTTAGTAGTGTACTTCTTGAGTATGTAAATAAACAGCCCAATTATCAACCAAGAATCAATAAAAAGCATTGGAGACAAATGAACGGAGAAAAAGACTTAAGTAACCACTCTGAATCTAAACATAAAGAGTCTGTCTCAACTATGCCAAGTGCTTCAAACTGAATCAAGAAGCGAGAGACCTCATAATCCACACATCTCCTAGAAAGTATGTGATCTTACCTTACAAAGAAGTGCTTGTATACTCCACTTACCGAGCTACTGGAGATTCCTTAATGGTTGAAGTTGAATAAGAGGCCTCTTCTTAAACTTAATGCGACTTAAGGAGATCAAAAGTTAATATATTCAGTTATAAATGGTGTATGACTCTGGGAGGTGCCCTGGCTATTGTGAAGGATGGTGACTATAAGGTCTTTTGTGATTCTATCCCATGTTGAGATTTCATGTTCTTGTAATAAAATTTCTATTGTTTCAAGGTTTTCATTATCTGTTAGGTTTTTTCATAACTATCAAGAAGCCTCATGAATGTATCTCTACATGATAAAGCTCTGTGTATCAGTGTATGTGCAAAATTTACTCTGTTCTTGTCACAATTTTCCGCATCAATGTTTAGTTACCTGCCAAAAATCGAAATTTCTGTCGTATACAACTAAACTTGTGATGAAAGTTTATAATGCGAATTTGAAATTGAGAATCTGAACTTCATGAAATCTACAGCATTAAGTTGTTGCCAAGCAAACAGTTATAAGATTGATACATAAACCCTAATTAAAAGACAAAGACTAACTTGAAAGAAAACACTTATAAGTGAAACCCTAATTAGACTTCCAACACGGAATAACCAAATCATTACAAGCAGAAAACATAGATACTTGGAACCGTAATGAAACCTCTCTCAAGCTAAGATGTCGACAGATTGACGACAAAGAGGGCATGAGTTTTGTTGTCGATCTAGCCACTTGTTGAGACATTGTTCATGAAACAGATGCGAACAATCAGGCAATTGGCAGATGTGGTTGGTCTTCGATTCCAACATGTTCTCCAAACAGATCGCACAGCTCTCTTGGTCCGGATCTGTTGCCGTCGAAGGAGCAGATACCGAAGGCACAACGAGGTACTCTTTTTGGGTGAGTTTGACGGCAATGATCATGAACAAGGATGGCCGCGACAAGTCTCTCCCTTTGGCTGCGACAAGAATCTTTTTAGAAACTAGTCGAAACAAGAGAGGGTCGTGGAGATGGTTACGGAGATGTCGTAAGACGTAGATTGGTATGAGATTTTGGAACTCGAGAGAGATTAACGGATCGGGAGGAGAAGAAGAAGGATGAGATCGGAGACTCGAGACACTACCGTCGCTCTCGTCTAAGAGAAATTCCTCAACTTCCCGACTTAGACTAATTACCACCTTGCTTAAGCATCCTTTCCACGGATCTTGATACCAAACCCTTGCGTTAACTTCTACGTTCACGGCTGGATTTTCCATTCTTGTGGTGGATTTCAACAAAATCAGAGAGAATGATTATGAGTCGTAATAAGAGAGACTGATATTTTAGCAAAAAAATAAGAGAGACTGAGATATGTTGTGATCGTGAAGAAGAAAATTTTGGAGTGTGTGTATTTATAAGAAGAAGAAACGCGCAATTGCCATTTCCTTTTTTCCTTGAACGTTCATTCATTGCGATATGGAAATTATGCGATGCCATATTTTCCTTTTTTCCTTTCTTGTTTTTTTATTTCCTTTTGTCCTTTCTTGTTTTTTACCATTTTTTTTTTTTGATTTCTTATTTCCTTTTTTGAGAACTATTTGTAACTTTCAATTATTCATGTTGCTGTATTTCATTTTTTTATCCTTTATATATTAAAGGAGAAGCATTGGAGGCCATTTTTGCTTATGTGTCACTCTCTCATTTTTTCTTAGATTTTTCAAAATAAATAAATTCCTATAATAATTATTCCTACTATCTTACTAGTCAAACACTCTTTATAATATAATCTCTATACCCAAACATAATTAAATAAACTTTTAACACTATCCTAATTTTCAAACAATTACTTTCCAAACAATACTAATCCGTGATAAACTTATCTACATTTCCAAAAAATAATATATTTACGAATTTACTAATTGTTTACCGTTGGTTTATATATGTATCGATACATATACGAATTTCTAATATAAACATACTATAAACAATGAACCCGAAATTTACTATTTCATTGAACATTTTTTTCATTTCGAAAGTTGTATTTCCGGATTGTACCATTTATACACTATCGACTTATAATATAGAATCAACCGATATTATGAAATATTGGAAATTCAAACATGTTAATCGATATCTACTAAACCAAATTATATATATTAGTCTTTTCAACACATCAAATTATTTTAGCATTAACAAATTCAAAAACATATACTATATATATATATAGTATCTCTACAATATTACTTGAGAAATAAATTTTTAAAAATATCTAAAAAAACTACGTATTTTA